TGCCTGTCCTCACAATGGGGTGTTTCTTAATGTATGGGAACTGCCATAGTGATAAATAATAGAACTTGGGAACAATTAAGGTCCATATAAAGAACACATTGTCTTGGACACTTTAATTTATCGCCTGCGGTAAAAAGAAGCATTCATCGGTAGGTAAACGACTGTTCTAAAATTGAACACAGCCTAATTTCAGTATTTTATTTTTGTTTCCTTATTTTATGATATAATTCGTGGCGCCACTGTTGGGAGGAGAGGTAAGTAGAAAAGAGAAAAGTAGAATAAGAAAAGAAGTAATAGTAGCATATACAAGGAGAAGAATTCTACATCTTGTGAATTTTCTAATTTAACAAGAATTTCATCAATTCAAGAATGGAAAATAATGACTTATAGTGAGTTCGAAATCGTTATTAATTTCTATTGCTGGTTCCTTGATAAGCTGTCAATTATAAAATGTGAGCAGCTTTTCATGAAATACGGTTTTATTTATTTAATAGCGTGTGAAAATATCATTTTTCATGCTGATTTGTATATTAACATACAATCATAATTGAGTTAGCTGCGCACAAGGAAGTAATCACTTTTAAATTAACCATTCCACCAATACATAACTGTTATAATCGCGTGCAGGTAAAAGTTGTTATAGCTGCTTGATCATGCGTTGGCCGCTTCACCTTGGGAACGTTATAGATATGAATACGCACAAGTACACAGTTTTATAAAAATACATAGCAATCGCAGGCAGCCTGGTAATCTCATAATGATGACCTCAATGAAATTTTCATTCTAAATAGTTACGTTGATCAGTTTTATAAGTTGTAGCCAAGTTCACAATTTTACAATTGCAATCAATTTATCGATTATTAAAGGTAGAAAGCGATCAAGGATACATACACTCGAGGACTATAAGGCGTGAAATAAGGAAAATTCTAATTTAGAATAACAATTGGATGTGCAGCAGGTGTGTACTGTCGATTCTGAGGGGAAAAGTTGATATAGTGGAGCAGTTTATACTAGTTGGGTAATCTCATAATGACCTCAATGAAATTTTCATTCTAGATAGTTACGATTACTCGTTGATCAATTTTACAAGTTGCAGCCAAATTCGCAATTTTACAATTGCAATCAATTGATCGATTATTAAATTATAAGGCGTGAAATAAGGAAAATTCTAATTTAGAATAACAATTGGATGTGCAGCAGGTGTGTACTGTCGATTCTGAGGCGAAAAGTTGATATAGTGGAGCAGTTTATAGTAGTTGGATGCACGGTACACTGTACTTTCATAATGTCGAAGGAGTACAAGAGAGTCGAGGCCCGGTGGCACTCGACGAACGGCTAGTGAAGGGAACGGATCGTCATACTCGGTCGTCATTCGACCAAACGGTCAGCGAAAATGCCGTGGAAAAGTCGCGTTTAACGATCGCCGATATAAACGTGTAAACTATATTGCGGTGAATGCAAAGACCAAAAGTCGCAGTGATCTTCGAGTTTCATCCTGTGGACGGTAGCATCCGTTGGGAAACGACGACTTTCCTTGTCCCCGTATGGGCAACTGAAGGAACGCCACCGGGTATCGGAAATATGAAGAATCGTAAACGAAACTACTACGAGTATGGAAGACGGAATAATTGCAAGTAGTGCTGAACAATAGTTCCACTGAAGGAGAAAATCATGGGAGGGCGATTTTGGTTTGGCTGGTTTGCATACGGTGATTGAAAAGTTTGCTCGATAAAAAAAAAAACAGAGAGTTATCATTGAACGATATTTTGGCGCGAATTCGACGACGACAACAACGCTTCGGTTTGGTTTTTGAGGGGAAGAATATTTTCTTTGTCGTCGCGGTACCACGCATTGAACAAAGAAACTTGTGAAAGTTTCCGTGGTGTTCAGCGCGATATAAAGTGTTCTCTGCTAGCGTGTATATGCATACTTGTGGATGATCGCGACGAAATTTAGTGCATTTTCGATGTGAGCCGAGCCTTGGTCCACGGCAGTAAACGATACGATCGAGGATGGGACGAGAGATTCTTCTATTTCTTTTAGAAATCCTCGTTGTAGGCGCAAAAGGCATGTATCTTTAGAATATATATATATAT